CACATTTAAATCATAGTTGTCAACCTTCCCTTTTTTGCGGGAAATTCCCTTATTCCAGTGCCGTTTCCCACTGCTTCCTGCTGCTATCCCGGATTATTAGATATCCCGTAGACTGTCCCCAGGACAGGTGAGGCTGCTGATCCCTTATTTTCCAGGCTGCTGATCCCTTATTTTCAAATCTCAAAGTTAGTCACATCTGCCTGTACTAACTTGACTGCAGCCCAGTCCTGTTGTGTAGGCAGGATTTGCCACAGGGTTTGGTGGTATTTGCTTCTAGACACGCCTGGGATTTCATTGTAAGCTGTTGCCACAAGTACAGGAAAAATCAACGCTCACTTCGTTTGTATGTGCTACAAAAGGCCCAAGTAAAAAAAATAAAATTACAACCTCTTCATCTCAGGGTCGTGGGTTGGAGCCCCGCACTGGGCAGAAGATTCATGCATTGCAAGGGGTTGGACTAGATGATCCTTGTGGCCCCTTCCAACTCTACGTTTCTTTGACTCTAAGCATTTGTGAAAGTTGCATGGGTCACCATCTTCTAACAGTAGCTCAGTGCTACTAGTTTTCAATATTTGTGTCCTGTTTGTGTGCCTATGTAGATTGGACCTCCCAAATGTTGCCGCTCTGGTAGAACTAGCAACCCCTAAACCTTTATTGGTACTTTTAGACACATTTTCAAAGGGACTCAGGCTGTTTTTAATGTTACATTTCCTCATGACTGAGGCTGCAACAGCAGCTACAGGATCCCAAGTGTGAACTCCTGGACTTTGCCCCATTGCACATGTGACAACTGCTTTTTGTGTGTCTGAACCAGAATCTCAGACTCTCTGCCCTTTTCTCTTCTGGCTGAAAGTAAAGGGTAATATGCAACCCAGTTTAATCCTGAAAAGCTTTTGTTACAGGATCCAAATAATAGGAGATTCAGCAGAGAACACTTTTTTGAAAATGTCAGCTGTCTTCTCCTTGAGGGCTAGAAACATACTTTAAAAAGGGATCTAGTCCCCAGAGCAAGAATTATCCTGTGAAAATGTATCTTGAACCATTTCTTGAAGACCAATAGACTTGAACTCTTTTGCTTAAGGCAACAATTTAAAATGGCCAGTTTCTGACAGAATAAACTATAGCACAGAAATTTCTATTTAAGTTTCTAATCCAGAGAGGCGAAACCTGCGGCCTTCCAGCCTTGCTCAAGTTTTGCAATTACTTTCTTCTGATTCTTGTTGTAAATTCCCACAAGATCACTATTCAAACAAACCACAAGCACTGAGCCGAGAACAAACCTTGGTTACGGGCTATAGTTTGTTTGACACAAAACAAACCACAAGGCTAGGTTCAGACATAATGCAAAGCCAAACCGTGGCTTAGCTTCTGGTACTACAGCAACCACAGAACTGAGTAAAGAGTGAAATACCCGTGTTTTCTTTCCTGTTCATGCCAAGCCATAGTTTCGCTTAGTATTTGTGAACCAAGCCATGGCCTGGTACAGCAGGCTTTTCTTGTACAAAACCAGACACCTCTGAATGGTACTACAATGCATGCTAGCTAAGAGTTTGATTTGGGGAAACTTGGCCCTTTTCAAACTAGCAAAAATCCATTTCACCAAATCAGAAGTGATCAGGGAGCTTTTTTTTAAAAAATGAAAAATAAAATTGTGATTTGCAAAGAAACACATTTCTGATCAGTTTATTAGAATCCATCTGATCATATGGATTTCTCCCTTCTGTTCCACAATCACCCTGCAAGCCATAGAACCTAAGACAACGATCCAATATTGTGGGGAGAAAAAAATTGAGATCTATCTAACCAGAAAGATGACAACACACTCCCTCACACTGAATTCAAAGGACATACTGTATTTTTTTGTTCCATAACACTCATTTTTTTCCTCCTAGAAAGTAAGGGGACTGTGCGTGTTATGGAGCGAATGCCTACGGATGGCGGGGGGATCTGCTGCAGTTGTGAGCAGAGGATCCATGGTTCCCCTTCCTTCCCTCCTCCGTGGCTCGCTTTGAAACAGCAAAGCGGGAGAAGAGCCACTGAGTGGGGAGAAGAGAGGGACAGAGAGCCTGGTTACAAAGCACGGATCCACATGGCTCCTCAGGATTTTTGCACTGGGTCACCCCAAATTCACCATCAGATCACATAGCATGTCCATGGCTACGGCTTGCACCAAAAAATCACGCACCCACTGTTGCCTGGGGCCACAGTGGTGCAAAAACGTGGTTACAAAGCATGGATCCACATGGATCCTCAGGATTTTTGCATTGGGCTACCCCAAGCTCACCGTCAGATCACATGTCTGTGGCCACAGCATGAACCACAAAAATCATACATCCACTGTTTCGTTTAGAATTTTTTTTTTTTTTTGGAGGAGGAGGAAAACAAGAATGTTTTTTTTTCTTGTTTTCCTCCTCTACAAACTATGTGTGTGTTATGGTCGGGTGCGTGTTATAGAGCGAAAAATACGGTACTTAAAATGGAAGCTTCTCCCACTTTCAGCTTTAACACTAAATCAGAACTTTGTAAAGTTTTTTGCGGGGAGGATGGTGCTGCAGGACAGCACCAGTTGCTGCAGTACAATACACAGGAAAGTATTACTGGTGTCGCATTCTGGATTGTGAAGGTACCACACCCAGTATTTCCACAATTGTTCCCATCTATCATACAGAGAGGCAGGAAAATCAGATAGGATAAAATGAAACAGGAGCATCTGATCTCCACAAAAGCCTCCTGAAAAGTGCTTGCATTTATGTCCACCTGCTGTCTGCGTTGACATGTTGTCTCATCTATTGTCCAAAGTAGAATTTGTTAAAATTGCTCCATTTGGTTGAATGAACCCTCTTCTAACTGAATATTTTTATTTCAGTTAACATTTTTCATATCTAGCAAAGAACTCGGGACTATATGCATTTTAGGACCGACCTATAGAGGAATGCCATCCTCATCCTGGACCCTGCAAGTTTAATTATCTTTCAGGGATTCTAGAAAAAAAGAATGTTTAAAATTGGCACAAAATAAGTAATCCCCCCAAAAGTAATCTGAATATGGCCTTTCATACCCTTAACCATGTTAGCAGCTTTTGAGACAACCATACACAACATGGAACACAATGGTTTCTAAACATTACAAAAGGCAACTAGGGAAATATGACATTATAAGGGAGAACTGAAGGGAGAAACCTGTTTCTTTAATACAGTATAGGGTGACTTGTGGGATTCTGGTTCATGGTTTTACCTGCATCCACCACTCTTAAAAAAATCAACAAATAGATATTAATAATTTGGATTTTTTTATATTTCTACCAAGTAGATATCAGAACAATTCCTGCACGAATCTACAATAATTAGTATTTTATCCTGGATATAATTATGAAAAAGGAAACTCTTGAGCAGTGACAAGATTGTAAAGGAACAGGGAACAGTTAAAGGAAACCATTTTAACCACAAAAGCATCTACTGTATTTTTTGCCCTATAAGATGCACCAGACCACAAGACACACCTAGTTTTTGGAGGAGGAAAACAAGAAAAAAAATATTCTGAATCTCAGAAGCCAGAACAGCAAGAGGGATCACTGCGCAGTGAAAGCAGCAATCCCTCTTGCTGTTCTGGCTTCTGGGATAGCTGCGCAGCCTGCATTTACCCCATACGACGCACACACATATACAACGCCCTTACTTTTTAGGAGGGAAAAAGTGAGTCTTATAGAGCAAAAAATACGGTATTTCTGATTGGTTGCTGCTGCAGAAAACATACTCCTTAATGAGCGCCTGATTTAAACCCAACTTAGTGATTGGAATCTTTTCCCTTGGCTTCAGCAGGCCTTGAAAATTCTTTTCTAATGACATGCTTATTTTCCCAGGTCTATTTTTGTGTTGTAAAAGCTATGACTATATGCAGAACCTGAATGTTGTGTGCTTTGCGAGGATATAAGGGCAGTATTACTTTATAGTCTAAAGCAAGGAAGAGATCAGATAACAAAGCTGACATAAGGGTTGAACTGACCTTGCCAGGACTAGAGCATGTTGTTGCTTTTTGGTAACATGCCGTTTCAAATCAGGCTGGTCTGTCCCTTTCTACATATGACTTTAACATTACTGGCACTGTAAATTGAGGTATTTACACCAGCAGATAGGTGTACAAGACTAACACAGCTAATTTCCCCAGCAACTCCAAAGTGATGCAGCACCGTTGCAGCACAGCAGCCGCAGCAGAACAACGTCCTGTAGCATCTTAAAGACTAGCAAGTTTGTCGTGGAATAAGTTATCCTAGGCAAAAACCTACTTCCAACAAATGCAACGAGCAGGCAGATATGACGCTGGATATTTTACACACAATATAACCACTTTGATATAATTTTTTATGAAATAAATAAATAACCCTTTCCCCTTTAAGTTGATGCTGCATGTTCTAAGATCTGTAAATGTGAAGAAATGAGTTATATTCAGGAACTTTAATACACTCGTAATGTTGTTTTAAAATACAGTTGAGTGGGACCTTTTTACTTATCTTGACTGGAAGACTGAATTGTAACAAGCCGAACCTAAATGAATATAGCAAAGCTAGTAACATTTTCTTCAACATCACATTCTATATAAAGAAGTTGTTTTGTGCTCATCCACAAAATGGGTTGCTAGCAAAATAAATCTGCTTGATCCCAATTTTTCAATCAGTTAAGTCTTTGCATATTAATCCATTTCAGAGGCTGACAACAAATTGAGAAATAGGAACAACTGTGTGATGTTTTGATCAATGTTGCTATATTGCTTTGAACATATTCTTCCAGTCTTACTTTCAGATCTGTATTTTCAAACTTTCACTTCTGCCTAGCTACGCCCTTCCTGATAAGTTATTATAAAGTTGAGACACATTGTTGCACAAAGGCACTTGCTGACAGTAAAATTGTCTGAGTATCTGTGCAAGCCACATATGCATGTCTTTTATGCCTAAGAGGAAAATAAACCGCAGGACATCCACAAACAGCAAAAAGAACAGGAAGGCGTTTTATAAACTTTGCAACACTCATTTAATAAAGAGTCAAACAGTATTTTACATTGCCATACATAAGCAGCATCCACTCTGGGCGACATCAAATGAGACTCTACAGTTCTTCCGGAATGTAGTCAAATAAATTAAGTGCATAACTGTTATGCAAATGTATGTTGAGCTTTTAAAAAACCAATCATGGATGACAGATTGGCTAGGATTCCAAGAGCTTCACATCAGTCAACAATTTCAAGAAAAAATGCACATCCTATCTCTGATTTGTCATTCAAGTCATTCATGAAGAAAGAAATTGTCTTTTTGGTAATCAAAACTTCAGGTCAGTGATTTTGAAAGAGTGCAGCAGGGGTAGGTGGCAAGTGTGGCAGGAAGATTCAAGGACAATCAGACATTTAAACATTTAATTTGCAGAATACTGATAGATATATTTTCCATATAAGAGCAACAGCATCAAGTGATATCAAGGACAATCCTGGTTGTGATTCAGAATTGCCATTCAAACATGAGTGTTGGAAAAGACTCTGGGCAGCATGAGCAAAGTGTGACTCAGGGAAAAAAGTTTGATAACCACTGCTCTAGGCAAGACATCACTGAGACAGGTAATTTTTTATTCAGCTTCCATTTGGAGGGATCAGTCATGGAAAACAGGACTCTTGCCTTTAGATAGCTAGCGGCTATAAAGCTAATGTTGTTCCCTCGATAATAACAAAGCAAAACCCAAACAAGCCAAAAGCAATCTGTAAAGGGGAGGAGCAGGTAATCAGAAATAAGCAATACAGACAGAGATCATATTCTGTAGAACCAATGATTTTTGAAAGAACTCTGTCTCAGAATATATAGGGCAACTGACTGAATAATTGTCTGATTTTCTTATAATTTTTACACTGGTTAACTACATAATTATAGAAATATGCAGTGCTTTTTTTCTAAAAAAAATGTTTAGGGGTACTCTCATTTTCCTACTTACATTGAAATACTGCCCCCCAATGAGGCCAAACTTAATTCACAAAATGTTTAGGGATATGTGTACCCCTGCATCCCCCCCAGAAAAAAGCACAGGAAATATGCATCTTGCAGAACTGAATCCATTGTCTCTGCTATTGGTAGAACTATACCTAGTGTTGTTTTGTTACAAGTTCAAGATTCAGATATATGATAAACAGCCCGTGCTGTTTCAGGTTAGGCTACTGGCTTGTCTGCACTGGGGACTATACCACATCTTTGATGTGCTGGTTTTATTGCAGCTGATTCTGACAAGGCAGACCCTACATTTTATAATTATAATTATAATTATTTCTGGAGTACTTCCAGTAACTAGGCATTGTGAGTCAAAAAAGAGAAACAGATTTTGCTCTCATGCTTGCAACCAAAGAGATTAGGCATGCAAGGGATGGGGAGCAAAGCTGGAAAACTAGGAGACACTGACCAGTTTGAGAATATAAGAGAGCGAAGAGGCAACTTTTCAACATGCACACACCAACAGGAGTGAGATGACTGAAAAGTTTAAAAAGTTCTAACAGAAACAAGCATGATAGATCAGGAAACTCAGGAGATCTGTATGAGTGGTAATCTTACAATTGAATGCAAAACCTTGTAACATAAAATCAGCATCCATTACTGAGCGCATTTGTAGGGGACATTCCTTGTGTCAACAGGCACTACCAACTATTTTATTAAAACCAAATGCAATTTCATCAGGAAATTGGTTGAAGGAGAATTTGCCAAGGGAAGACATATTTCCCCTCAAAACATGAGCATGCATGACAGATGAAACATGCAAACATACTTTTCAAAATAGTGAAATTACAGTCACGTTTGTGCACCCTTAATTCATGGAAACAAGTGCTTTACACATATTATCCAATTAACTGTAGAAAGTATTGTTTGTGTAGAGATGAAAACAGGGACAGCTGTATCACTCTGGCTTGGGCTGCAGCTTATTCTTCTCTGGCTCAAAGAAATATTTTTCAATTGCACTGACCAGTTCATCCAGTTCTTTCTTCAGCTTTTCAAAGTCACTAAAAATAAGCCAAAAACAAAACCTGGGTTTCAATCTATTCAAATTCTCATTCACATTAAAAACAGTAGATTTATTCTCATGATATGCTAATAGGTAAAGTCCATTCTGAACTGTGGTGGTGGCTGGGATAAAGCAAAGGGGAGATGGTTTAAAATACACATTTGAAATACAATGGACTGAGGTTTTGTGGATATGACAATGAAATTTAGCTTACCCGACCCAAAACTGTGTTAAACAAAGATCTGTGAAAACTGCTCAAACAGCTATTCTGTGAAAAGGTCTACAGTAGGAGAAATCCAAATTTAACAATGGTTTGCAACAGAAAAATAAATAAACCTAAACAATACCTGTTTCCAGGAGGTGCACAAAGCTCTGAGTAGTATTTGATTTTGGGTTCGGTCCCACTGGTTCGCATGGTAGCCACACATCCATTAGTAAACGTAAATGTTATCATTTGACTGCTTTTACTGGTAGGAAGCACCTAACACCACAAAAGGTAAATTTGTCACAATTTTGGCTATAACTGCATTAGACTCATATGCGCTAATGTGTAATGACTAATCATCAGCTTTCTAAGGGTGGGGTTCATGGGATAAAGAAATAAAGCACTAACCTCTCCTGGACTCTTCATGTGAAAAATTGACAGGGGGGATTTCAAGAGATATCTTTTTCTTGGGGGAGCGAAAATATAGGATTGGGCATTAGGATGCCAAATATGACACACACTATTCTAATTTGCAGGTACCTGCAAATGATGCAGATCAAACCAGCAAGTCACCTAGGCAGCTTAAAGGTAAAGGTAAAGGGACCCCTGACCATTAGGTCCAGTCGTAACCGACTCTGGGGTTGCAGCGCTCATCTCGCTTTATTGGCCAAGGGAGCCGGTGTACAGCTTCCGGGTCATGTGGCCAGCATGACTAAGCCACTTCTGGCGAACCAGAGCAGCACATGGAAACGCTGTTTACCTTCCTGCCGGAGCGGTACCTATTTATCTACTTGCACTTTGACGTGCTTTCGAACTGCTAGGTTGGCAGGAGCAGGGACCGAGCAACAGGAGCTCATCCCGTCACGGGGATTCGAACTGCCGACCTTCTGATCGGCAAGTCCTAGGCTCTGTGGTTTAACCCACAGCGCCACCTGCATCCCTCTCCTGGGCAGCTTACAATACCTCTATTGGGTTCGTAAGATTCTTCCATCAGTCAAATGCACTGACAAAGGAACAGCATAGATTGACTAATTCTGCTAGCAATCTACATGCAGGATTCAACGCTATGTGCATGTTTGCATTTAGCTCCAGCATTGCTTACAAGGCAGTACACAAAACACAGTATTTCAAAACTGTTTTTAATTTTTTTATCCTTATTAAGGGATGGGATTTGCCCTGCTTCCTGAGCTCTGTTTTCAGCTGCCAGTTCACTTTTTGAAGCATTTTGTTCCACTAATTTCTGCCTTGGTCCTCAAACAAATATAGATGAGGGGAGGAGAAGGGGGATAGTTCCCTATGACAATCAGAAGCGCTTATCAGAACAGTGTGACGTTGAATTCTTCCCTTAGTCTTTAAGATGTCATAGGACTCCTTTTTAGTTGGCTGGAATAAAATCAATGAGACTTATTTCCAAATAAAGGAATTTAGGATGAGGACATCATTCAGGGAGCAACAGTCTCCTAGAAATAAAAGAACAAAAAGTTCCAGCTAGTGCATTTTTTGCTCTATAGGATGCACTTTTCCCCCTCCAAAAATGAAGGGGAAATGTGTGTGCATCCTATGGAGCAAATGCAGGCTCCTTGGCTTCAGCGACAGCAACGCGAAGCCTCCGAAGCGCAGAGGGAGAGATCCCCCCGCGCTCCGGAGGCTTTGCATTGCTTTCACTGAAGCCGCCTGAAGCCCCCAGAGAACAGAGAACTCCCACTGCGCTCCGGGGGCTTCAGGCAGCTATCCGCAAGCCTTCGGAGCGCAGCGGGAACTCCTGCTGCGCTCCGAAGGCTTGCGGATAGCTGCCTGAAGCCTGGAGAGCGAGAGGGGTCGGTGCACACCGATCCCTCTTGCTCTCCAGGCTTCGCTTCGCTGGAGAGGCGCTGCACAGTTTTCCCTCTCTGCGCAGTGCCCCTTCAGCGAAGCGGGAGGAGAAATGGAAGGGGCTCTGTTTCTCCTCCCGCTTCGCTGAAGGGGCGCTGAGCAGAGAGGGGGAGAATTCCCCCCCCGTTCTCCCCCTCCTATGGTCCGGTGCGTCCCATAGAGCGAAAAATACGGTACTTACAGCTTTTTTATCAGTCTCATTACTGTCATAGCCAGTAGTGAGATCCCGTACTCCAGACACTGCAAATCTCCCACAGGTCTTTGGATAAGTGTTCTTCCCATCATAATTTCTAAGCTTCTCAAATAGCTCCTTAATAATCTTCTGATCGTGACAGATAAAATAGGAAGCTTTAGTAACATGGTAGCCGTACCTTTGAAGGCAAAATAGTTACCCGTGAGCTCCATGTACCTTGTATGTAGAAAATATATGAAGTATACTATGAAATGCTCATTGTAAACTCACTCATTGTAAATGTTTTTCAACTGCTGAGACAAAGTCAATTTCTTGGTTTCCAGAAAAGCAGCCATCTCTGCAGTTATGACCGCAGCACTGACACCGTCTTTATCCAAGACCACAGGGCTGCACATATATCCTGAAGACAAAGTTAAAGACAGAACATCTTTAACAGAAGCTATTTTGTCTAAATGTTCTTGACAGATGATGAAATGCAAAAGTCTGAGTTTCCATTCAGTTACAAATGTGATTCTATGAAATAAAGTAATCCTATCACACAACACAAGATAACAGGCTCATATGCAAGGCAGTGTTGCTTTCATATCTGTACATCATCTGGTTTGTATTAGGTACTTGGATGTGACTAATATTATTAAACCTAAGCCCTAAACCCAAGACCTAAACCTGGATCACTGACTGAAGGATCATTTCAAATGAATGACCCAAGTTAGGAAATGCATTTCACTCCAATTTCAGAAGGGTTAGGTGCATTTTAGTACCGAGATAAGGATAGCCCCAATTTTCATCTCAACCACTGGACTGATTTGCAAGTAATGCTATATTCGGTGCCTCATCATAACGGTCCTTTCTTCCCATGTGGCTGGGATAAGTTCTGTAGAATTTACTTTGCATATAATGCTAAGCCTTGTTCATATGTAACACAAACAAGAATACTGATTTACACCTAGCAGTGGCTAAACAAGTAAATTTCATACCTTATTGTTTGTGGTTGGCTTGTTTAGAAGCAGCCATTGGTAGTTTTAAACCAGGATTCCTGGTTCTCAGGTAAAATTTAGATAATAGCCATTGAAACAGAAAGCATATTCAGCAAAAGTTCTCCTGTTCATGAAGGATGGAAGTAGCAATGTGGGAGGGTGCAAAACAAATGCTTTGCTGGGGCTCACTGAGACTTGTCTATGTTAGCATTAAATGAGCAAACTAACCCATTTATTGACATGGACATGGAAACATTTTAAGACACACATTGGTAATATGCATGTCATCAGAAAGTATTGCCAGAAGCAAATCTGTTTTCAGTTAATTGCAGCATGGTATCCCAACCCTCAAGTACTATCATATATTTATTGATTATTGGGCATTATTATACTTAGGGAGGGAAATTGCTTAGTGGTGGTATTTTAAGTAAAGGGACCCCTGACCATTAGGTCCAGTCGTGACCGACTCTGGGGTTGCAGCGCTCATCTCGCTTTATTGGCCAAGGGTTCCGGCGTACAGCCAGCACGACTAAGTCACTTCTGGCGAACCAGAGCAGCGCACGGAAATGCCGTTTACCTTCCTGCCAGAGTGGTCCCTATTTATCTACTTGCACTTTGATGTGCTTTCGAACTGCTAGGTTGGCAGGAACAGGGACCGAGCAACTGGAGCTCACCCCGTCGCGGGGATTTGAACCGCCAACCTTCTGATCGGCAAGCCCTAGGCTCTGTGGTTTAACCCACAGTGTTATGCTGAAATAAGCAGCCCCATTTTAAAGCCAAAGCTTAGAAACAGTTAGCATCTGAACATTATCTTCCTGAGCTATCAGTAGGCAAGCATTTTCTCCTACTCTCATCAGCATAAATGCAGACAGTATGCACCTCATTGTACAGTGGTACCTTGGTTCTCAAACGTCAAAAACCCAGAAGTAAGTGTTCCAGTTTTGAAACACTTTTTGGAAGCTGAATGTCCGATGTAGCTGTTGGCTACTGTTTCCGGGGCGCCTGCACCAATCAGAAGCTACGCCTTGGTTTTTGAACATTTTGGAAATCAAACGGACTTCCGGAACGGATGAAGTTTGGCGCTTTTGTTTTTGCTATGTATTTTGCATGTTTTTGAGGCTTTTCCGGTTAATTTGTTTTTGTGACTGGGTGGAACCCAGTTCAGCTACTGATTGATTGATTGATTGATTGATTCTGTGACTGCGGAAGTGGATAAAAGCCTGCCATCCAAACAATGACTATCATCAGTGTAGGTAAGATTTTTTTTCATTTTAATTTTTATCATCTACAATACCGTCTTATTTATTTTATAGTATAGTACATTGTTTATTGCTTTCATTTTAGAAGTCTGGAATGGATTAATCCATTTTGCATTACTTTCTATGGGAAAGTGCGCCTTGGTTTTGGGACGCTTTGGTTTTGGAACAGACTTCTGGAACGGATTAAGTTTGAGAACCAAGATACCACTGTACTACAGGTAATCAGTTCTCAAGACCAGTAAAAAAAAACAAAAAACCCACAAGAGTACATGGTACATTAAACAGATGCCTATCTCTGTAAAATATTTCAGTCTAAACCACTCTGCGTTATGGAATACTTATTACCAATCGCTTCTTCAAAGGCAAATAAGACCGTTTTCCCCTGGTCCATGAGCTGCTTGGCTCGGTTTCCCATCCACTTGAATCCTGTTAAGGTTTCCTGTGCAGAACAAGATTTCAGTCAGAACACTGTCTACAGGAAAATGAAATATGCTTCTCTCCTGCCCCCAAACGGCTTACTTCAAAGTGAAATCCTTCCTTGAGTGCGATTGCTCTTAAGATTTTGGAGGACACTGTGCTCGAAAGCATGTATACATCTTTGATGGCAGCGGGTTCCTGATTCTGCTTTTTCCAGCAAGTGAAGATCCACCAGCCCAAAAGAGCTCCTGATTCATTGCCAGAAAACACCTTCCATTCTCCACTGAGGGACAGAACAAGTTTAGATGGTTAGAGAGACAGTAGCTCAACAGCTTAACGTAAAGAAATGATAGGAACTACAGTAAAGAAATTGTGCTGAGGTTGCAGTTCCAAAACCAAAGGGATATACCGTATTTTTCCGTGTATAAGACTAGGTTTCCCTCCTAAAAAATAATGTCCGAAATTAGGGGGCGTCATACACAGATAGTGGCTCCCCCTATTTTCTTAAATCCGAGTCCCCCAAAACTGGGGGCGTCTTATACATGGGGGTGCCTTATAGACGGAAAAATACGGTAGATACAGAGTGTGCACTTTTATTTGTCATGTCATTCTACTCAATATTGATCCAGAGTAGATTCCAATGTATAGTTAGCAGAGTAACAACTTAAAGCACGTTGCAGGATTCCCCAAAAATAGACCAGAGGCAATTATATTTCATCCAGCAGAGCTTCACTGCTGCTGAAGCCAGATGAGCATAATGGTCACAAATTCAATACATTCGGGAATGGCACTGTCTATAAGAAATCCAATGGCAGCAGACTTAACTGAAACTTACAATAACTTACAATAAGTCTAAACCTTAATACTAAGCATACTATGTGCAGAACACCACACCAGAAGGAAAAGAGATAGAAAGAGAAAGTGAAACGCAGGCTCCTTCTGGCCTGACTATTATAGTCTGCATGACCTTGACAGGAAGAGATAAGAGAAGCGGTTAAAGCCAGCTGTACTCAGCTTCTCTAAAGGAATAACCCAAATATCAGGAATCTTCTGATTGCTTCTTTCACACAGAGAAGCTTCTTGAATTAATTAGAATGGGGAAGATCTCTACACATCAGATCAATACTTTCTGAACTAAGAAATGCAAACTGACATGTTTTTCCACAAATATTGGGTGTGTAAGTATTTTTTAAAAGAAACTGATTTAAGATACATTTTTTATTATTATTATTCTCAAGAGCATCTACTGCCAACACTTTTGACAGTAGTCAAAAGAAAAGTAAGGCAACAGATGATATAAAGGTAAAGGGACTCCTGACCATTAGGTCCAGTCGTGACCGACTCTGGGGTTGCGGCGCTCATCTCGCTTTATTGGCTGAGGGAGCCGGCGTACAGCTTCCGGTTCATGTGGCCAGCATGACTAAGCCGCTTCTGGAGAACCAGAGCAGCGCATGGAAACACCGTTTACCTTCCCGCCAGAGCGGTACCTATTTATCTACTTGCAGTTTGATGTGCTTTCGAACTGCTAGGTTGGCAGGAGCAGGGACCGAGAAACGGGAGCTCAGCCCGTCACGGGGATTCGAACTTCCAACCTTCTGATCGGCAAGTCCTAGGCTCTGTGGTTTAACCCACAGCGCCACCCGCGTCCCAACAGATAATATACATTTACATAAATAGCTCTTGGGCATTTTCAACAATTGAATTGTTGTTAAACACTGAAATCACCAAAGCAAGCAACCATACCTTTCTTGTTTCTCTGCAACAGCAAGTCGATCAGCATCTGGGTCATTGGCTAAAATAATCCGAGCTCCTTCTTTTTCGGCCAAGGCAAAAGACAGTGTCTAAAAAAGAACAGGAAAGTGAAGAGCCCCAAAGCAGTAACATTTTAAAAAGAAAAGAAATATATTCAATGCATTTTATGCCAATAATAATACAAGAGGCCTATTTGCTGACAAAGATGGGAAAGTTTGGCTCAAACCCTGAAACTACCGTATTTTTCGCTCTATTGGACGCACCGGACCATAGGACACACTGGACCATAGGAGGGGGAGAACAGGAATTTTTTTTTCTTGTTCTCCCCCTCTAAGTCAAGGTGCGTTCTGTGCGTTCAAGGTGCGTTCAAGGAGTTCCCGCTGGGCTCTGGAGGCTTAGGGTTCCTTTCGACCTGCTCTTTGGGGCTGGCAGGGGGGGGGGAGCGCCGCCAAGCTCCCAAGGCTTACGGATATCTGCCCGAAGCCCGGGGAGCGCTGCACAGCGCGCCCCAGGCTTCGGGATGCAGGCTGCTATCCGCAAGCCTTGGGAGCCCGGCGGGCACTCCAGGCTTCAGCGAAAGCCTGCATTTGCTCCATAGGATGCACACACATTTCCCCTTCATTTTTGGAGGGGAAAAGGTGTGTCCTATAGAGCGAAAAATATGGTACATGCCAAAGAAAGAGACAATTTGGTGCTGATTCACACATTATTTTAATTGCACCTCTTGCAGAAAAAAGGAACACATCAAATTTTTGATTCCATGAAATTAACATGTAGTTGTCCTCAGGATACAGCAAGGAGAGAGAAGAGGAAGAAGAAAAGATGTTTGATGGCTTTTTCAAAAGATGTGAGTACATGTCTTTAAAAAAAGAATATACATTTAGAAGATTTATAGGTTATCAGGAAAGGTTTGAAGTGGCGCAAAAGAAAGGTAGAAGAAAGAATTTTGACTAAATTGTGTTTTACCAGTACGCCTTTCCCCTCCTCAGGGTTTGGATATTTTACTGTTGGAAATTCTGGATCAGGCTCCTTCTGTTCAGGAACAGCAAATGGAGGGCTAAAGTCAAACACCTTAAAGGCGGACTGCACAAACTCATGGCCTACACCGTGCACAGAAGTGTGGACAAATTTCAGCTTTGTCTCCTTGTTTATATTCCTGAAATTAAGTACATCAATGACATTACATTGGCATGAGCTTGTTTACTGCTAATAACAAAGAAATGCACTGTACTGTATCCTCTTTCACTAAAACTTGTTTTTTTAAAAAAGCCGCTTACGAGTTGCCTGATTCTCAACTCCAGGCCACACAACTGATGTAAGCAGACTGTGTATTCAAGCAATGTTGCGAAGACGTTCCTGCATGCACACACAGTTGCAAAGCGGTTACAACGTGTGTGCAACTCTTTCTGTGTATCTCCTCTCTGCTGGCACTGCTATAGTACCTGCTTAGATGTCTTATGGGATAAGGCAGGGAATGAAGAACGGAAACAGATGAACAAAGGGAAACACACAGATCTGAAGTTTGGGACATTCCTGTCCTGAATGCCTTTCCTTAGCGGCTGAGAAAGGAAAAATGGACTCGCCACAAGTTGCCTTCCTTTCAAGGGTCAAGCAGGCACTGTCTATCTACGTTAGGCCATCAGCCGAGATTTTAATAACATGAACTCCTCTTACCAGCTGCCACCTCACCATTTGACACTCCTACTCATTTTTAAGGGATTGTCGCTTGCTAGTGATAATTAAGACAACCTTTCGTCTTTTCTTCCCTACATCCCTCATCAGTCCCTGTGGAGATGGCAGTACCGAATCAGTGACGCATGTCCTTCTGGCTTGCACTCTTTATAAAGACTTGAGGAATGAGGTTATCACCCCTCTTTTATCATCCATTCTGGGTCACCTAGCCACTGTCATACTGTCCTTTCTCTTGGCAAATCAAGATGAGCAGATGACAGCAAAGGCTGCAAGGTTTTTAGCTGGGGCAATCAGAATAAGATCCACTATTTGATTATTGATTCAAAACCCTAAAATGTATTTTATATAACTGACTTTTTATTTCTTTGTATATCGTATTGTTGTTTTATTGCTATGGCCGATGGCTGATGCAAATAAAGATTCTTTCTTTCTTTCTTTCTTTCATCCTACATCCCTCATCAGAAGTTTGTCCCACCTTTCTCCCAATGGACAAAAGAAATTCCCATTTCTGCGTGTGGAAACCTACTTGCAACTTTCTTTCAATTTTAATCCTGTTGCACTAAAATTAAATAATATAGATTTATCCCCAAGAAGGAAGAAAAGTCATCCCTGACAGTTTACCTGTGAAAGCAGTGCTTCTGTATGTCCTTAAAGTAGTCCTTGTTAATAGATGCGTAAGGATCGTGGAGTAGGGGACTTTTATCAATCAGGCTGTCATCCCAAGCTTGAGGCCACGGCTCTAGGTTTTCTTCAATAGCTTGAGCAATTCCTTTATCATGAGGTGAAATTATCTGAGCGCCGTTTTCCCAATAAACCTAAGTAACACAGAGAATATATGCAGATTATCTGTTAATGGAAGCTTCATTATAATGTATCTACCGTATTTTTCGCTCTGTAAGACGCACTTTTCCCCTCCTAAAAAGGGGAAATGTGTGTGCATCTTATGGAGGGAATGCCTTCATCCCTCTGCCCTGCGGAGGCTACCCCAGAAGCCAGAACAGCTAGAGGGAGCGCTGCGCAGTGTTCCCTCTCGCTGTTCTAGCTTCTGCCTTAGCGGCGGGAAGCCTCCACAGGGCAGCGGGGAGCCTTCATGCCGCTCCCCTGCAGAGGCTTTGCACGGATATCCCTGGCTTTTGTGGGAGGTGGGGGAAGGGACAGAGCGCACAGCTCCCTTTAGAGAGTGCACGGCTCTTGCGGGAGGTGGAGGGGAATGCTTTCGCTGAAGCCAGGAGGGCAAGAGGGATCAGTGTGCACCGATCCTGCTTGCTCTCCTGGCTTCAGGGATAGCCCTGCAAAGCCTCCTGAGCAAAGACGGAGGAGCGCTCCCTCTTCGCTCAGGAGGCTTTGTGTTGCTTTCTTATTTCTTTTTTTCCTCCCCTAAAAACTGGGTGCGTCTTATGGTCCGGTGCGTGTAATAGAGCGAAAAATACGGTACTTAGTAGCTGAAAGTACCAGGTGTTGCCCTGGAATTCTAAGAAACCAAAAAGCATAGAGATGTATAAACAGATAGTTTTAGAGCTGTGAGGCAGCCATGCACCATAGAGCTGGTTTGTGGGGTGGCAGGTCTGAATGTGGCAGAAGCGGTGACAGAAATTGAGCAAGCAATGACCATGAAGTAGGAGCAGATGACATGGTTGGTGGTAGCAACTGAGACAGCTGGGGCCTGAACTCTGGGAAACTGGGACATATTGGGGACAAAAATGTGGGATGGAGAATGAGGAGGCCAGGCAAGTCAAGTGCAGCAGCTCAGCACATGCAGTAGAACTGCAGGAATCACACACCAAGGGAAGAGGAGGAGAATACCTTGTATCCATTGTCTTCTTTTGGATTATGAGATGCGGTAACCATAATTCCAGCAGAAAGTTTCAGGTGAGTCACTGCATAAGGCTGTGGAAAATAAGCAAATAAAGTAATCTTAAAATGGAAGAAGACTGCCTGGAGCAACTGCCCTGTTTCCTTCACAGTTTTTAGAAAATATTTATTCCTCTCTCCCACATTCTAAGAATCTCAGTACAGTATACATGAAGCTATAAAGTTCAGTCCAGAAAAAGCTATCTCTTCCAATTTCCCCCACGCGTCCCGGTCACCAGTTATCAAACAGCCTGCTACTACAGTCTCCCTGAATTTGGAGCACTTTTTAGAATTTCAGTGAAATAGTGAAAGCCTTGTTCTATTTAAACTGATCTCTGTTTATGTGATACATAGGAATTACATTTTAACTTCAACACTGTGAAAGAGGGACGGGTGAAAGTTATGTTAGGATATAGTTCCGTTCCACCTTAAAAGGAACAGGCATGTCTGTTGTGTGTCACATGCCTGTTTACTTCCAGCACAGTCTGCTGGGAACTTCCGTTTGTATGTTGCTTTTGCTATATTGCTGTTTGCTGGACACGAAGGGAAGAAGACATGTTTTTCCTTTGTTCCTTAACTATGCTGAATAAATGCCTGTAAATACTGCTTACAAATGTCTCTGTCCGCCACTTCCATTGTAAGAAGATTTATTCACTCTGCTATAGAGCGTGTCAAGTCTCTAAAGGTATCTGAGGCTTGTGTTGCTGTTTGATGCTGTTCCAAGGGAGACCGGTGATCGCCCGGCTGCTGGCTGGTGGCTGGAGCCAGCTGGGGGCCTGCCTGATGCCCCCGTCTCCCCAGCAGTATCCCAACAAGGTAACTATTTGTCCAGAGACATGCAGTGCACTTTTTGGCTGAGTGGGGACTTGAATCAATGTCTTTCTGGACCAAGCACAGCATGCCTGCTGCTACATCACACTGAAGTATCCAGATGGATTAGCAACATGCATACCTTTGGTATCAAGAACGCATGATTTTTAAATTTCTCCTGCGTAACACCAATTCAATCAAGATGCTATGGAATGACCATCAGGGATGGCACTCCAATAAAAGGTGCTTCCTATCTGGCCTGTTCTATCAACAACAGCAAGTATAGGCAGAGACCTTCATCTCAGCCCACATCACAGGTAAGTTCTATGTCACAATCTGCAAAAAAAGTGGAAGGTCTCCAAAGCACAGAGAAAGCAATGAGCAGAAGAACCAATTGCAGACGGTAGATGGCTCTCTTAAAATTAATCAGAGTTGATTTTTTTAAAAAGAACTAACGATCTCATAACTAGTTTTAGTTTGACCTCATCTCATGGCAAAAACAGTCATACCTTAGTTCTCGAACAGTATAGTTTTGGCTCTCGAATGCCGCAAACCTAGAAGTGACTGTTCCGGTTTGCGAACTATTTTTGGAAGCCAAACATCCAGCAGGGCTTCCGATTGGCTGCAGGAACTTCCTGCAGCCAATCAAAAGCCATGCTTTGGTTTCCGAACGTTTTGGAAGTCGAACGGACTTCCAGAACAGATTCCATTTGACTTCCAAGGTACAACTCTCTCTGTGTGTGTGTGTGTAACATCACAATAAATTATATTTATCTACTGACCCTTCTATCAATGTATAAGTAGCATAACTGGGGTGCAAGGAGGCTAATGACCTACCACAAAAGGAGTCGGTGTGATGTTGGAGAAAAGGTACACAGGAATGCCTTGACTGATAAATGCTGTCGCAGCAAGCCTTGCAAATCTATTGGCGAGAAACATAATAATTTGAAAACAAGGAAGGAATCCTCTTGCAAAACTCGAAGAAGTACTGCACTGAGCCTAGGTGCCATTTAGTTGATATTCATGCATTACGTTTGCCGGCACCCACCCTGCAAACAGCATGCATTTAGCAATCTATGAAGGACAGCAGCACGGCCAAGTTCTCCAACACAAGGACATGAATCGGGTGACCTACATATGATAAGTTTCTTCCCAGTGCTTTTCATGGGCTACAAAATACATCTAGTATGGAGATAAAGTCTCTGTGCATGACAGAAAAAGTATGATGTTAACATATGAAGAGGACCAAGCCCTGGCTATTAAAGCCAACCAATCTGGTTGTGTAGCCAGGGCTTTTAAACAACTATAAGTTGTTCCTCAGTTCCGAAAGGAAACCCGGCTCACCCCCTAGTTGCCAGGCAAGCACTGCTTTTTCTCCACAACATAATGAAATAAAGGAGGGATCTCTGGCAGCCAGGGGGCAGCAGAGTACAGCAGAGCAGTTTGTGGAACAAACACCTTCTGGGTTTTCAGTACAGTACAGTACAGTGCAGTACAGTGGTGCCCCGCAAGACGAAAAACCCGCTAGACGAAAGGGTTTTCTGTTTTGGAGGTGCTTCACAAAACGAATTTCCTATGGGCTTGCTTCGCAAGACGAAAATGTCTTGCGAGTTCCTGCGGGTTTTTTTCCCTTCCCCCCCCTTTTTCCCAAGCCGCTAAGCCGCTTATCAGCTGATCCGCTAAGCCGCTTAACAGCTGATCGCTAAGCCGCTTAACAGCTGATCCGTTAAGCCACTAAGCCGCTTATCAGCTGATCCGCTAAGCCTGCTAAGCCGCTAATAGCGCTAATCCGCTAAACCGCTAATGGGCTTGCTTCGCAAGACGAAAAAACCGCAAGACGAAGAGACTCGCGGAACGGATACTTTTCGTCTTGCGAGGCACCACTGTACACTTCTTACCAATAATGATATTATGTATGTATTTCATAAAATTTATATGCTGCTTGATTGAGGATTTTTCTACAATGCAGTTTACAAAAAGATATAAAACAATAAAATCATCACTAAAAAATACAACTGCAAATTAAAACATAAAGGAAGTTAAAACAACCGCAATAGAATAGACTAAAACAACTTCCCATAAATCTTACATACTCTTAAGTGTCCTTACTTGGGAGATATATCCCAATAAAATAGACCTCACTCCTTAGCAAGCGTGCCTCAAATTACAGCTTTAATTCATTTCATTTTATTATTCTTTGCCCCAGTTACCTAAAGAAGAAAGATACTCGACTGGAGCAGCCAGATCCATCAAATTTTAATATTTTTATTGTTTTAATAGTGATATTTTTTAGAAAAGATGGGATTTTAAAAAATCAATCAATCAATCTTATCAGCTCATCATGGCACAGACTTTCCCTTAAGTTTAAGTCAAGAAATAAGTTCATTCTGAGTGGGCCCCTTCTCCATCTATGGCAAATCAAGCATGTCATGAACAAATCATTGTAGCAGTTGCTAAGAATACCTTTTGCTGCTACCGCCACTTGGAGGATGAGCGCGAGCGTCGTAGCCAATCACAACGCCTCTTTTCTTCAGGTCACTGAAGCTCTTTTCGAGGTACCTACAGAATCCCTAGAAACGGAAGCATACAAAGCGCCAGCAGTTTTGAAAGTCCGTCATATAACTTTGCACATCTTCTACAGAACAAAGGAAGAGGAAGCTATTGCTTGCAAAGTGAAGAAGTTGCGGCGTCCTGAAATGAATATATTACAGGGCTCCTGGTGAAGAAGCTTGCCTCGAGGGCAGAAGAGTGGAGGCAGAAACAACTTGGTGAGCTTTCACCTTTCACCCATGTTCCAAAAAATATGTCTCCTCTCCCCCGCAAGTGGCTTTTAAAGCATCATCTTGGGGACAAAAATCTAAGAATGAAAAGACGAAAGACGAACCAACATGCAAATCCCCTTTTCTACAAAGCATACCTTTTCCCAAAAAGAAATGCTGTTAACAAGGAAGAGCCTTTTGATCAGGTAAGATAAAGAGATTGAAAACCTCAGGTCATACTTAAGGAAATACCTACTACAGTAACTTTGAGGATTGCATTTTACCAACCTAATCCCAGTATCTACTGCCTCTGCAAGTAAGGTGCTTACAGTATGGTGTGCTGGAGCAGGGTGGCCAATGCAATGTTATAAGCAGGGTGGAAAAAAATCAATGACACACACACACAAATACTGGATTTTTAAAATTTAAATTGGATTTTTTAATTTAAATGGGATTTTTAAAATTTAAATTGGATTTTTAAAATAAAACGCTTTGGGAGGAAAAATCTTTCTAAAGATAGTTTTCTATTTAAGTTACATTATAGTCCAAAGGCTATTTATCAGGAAATAAGAATTTGTTTTAAGTTTTTCATGTGTGCTAAAACTCAGTCTAAGTTTTTTTTTAAAAAAATCATTTAACCACATCAGATAACAAACATGAATACATATGCTATAATGTTATTTTTTCAGTTAAATAAATTGTTTAAAATGTTATTAAGGAAATGATTATTTTTCTCCTTCCAATAAAGTACAGCAGAAAAGTTGTCCAAGTATAAACAGTTAACTTATTAAACCTCACAATAATTTCAGAATTATCTGTCTATGTATTTCTAATAGTATAACCACATCAGTAATTTTTGATATAACTGTAAAACTACTCTGAGAATTTATTATTCCAAAAATGAAACCTTCATCTGGTTGTAAATATTAAGATTATACCAGCATGAATGAGTCTTTCTGTAAAAAAAAAAAAGATTTAAATCAAGTCTTACTGACTACTGATTTAAATCAAGTCTTACTGACTAGTGATTTAAATCGTGATTTAAATCGATTTGATTTAAATCAAATCCACCCTGGCTATAAGCCATGATTTTGTGCAAGCATTGCAGAGTTATTCTTTTTATACTGCACATATGTGCCAATGTAAATGACCGTGGTGCAAGTTATGTGCTCTCTTATATACACAACACGAAAGGGGAATTGTGTTCTTATTACAGAATCCTCAATGAGCAGCTGAGCAATACTTGTCTGTGCTAATCAGATGATTTTTTTTGGGGGGGGCAAGATTTATGCCTGAAAATCTGGGAAGAGCGGGATGTTGATCTTAGTCTGCTGTGAGGCTGCACTTAAGCTGGGAAGGATTGCCCCATGCTGGCTCCCAGTTGCTGCAAAAATGACTCTAAGACAGCAGTGCCATCTTTTTGTATGCATGATAAACATGAAACACTTGCACCATCAGTGCCCATGTGAAGACCACCTGGTGGAAACCCTTACACATATGGTTCTTAATTGTAAACTATATGCTGATCTCCATCAGCAATTTCTAGATCTACTCTGTATCCCCAAATGGAAACCAGAGTTGGAGGTCATACATTTTCTATTACTGGGGAATGATCAGGAGCTCACCAAGTTAGTGGCTGAATATCTCTATTTGGTTTTTTGTCGTCGAAATACACTGCAGATGTCTGATCTCCCTGGAGACCTAGAGATGTGACGATAGACCGCTCTGCCTCCTTTCTTTTAGCAAATGTTTTGTGCCACTGGGGAAGTGGTAATTCTGTATTGTTTTTTATTGTGTGTTTTTTTTGGATGTTTGTTTGTGATGCCAATAAAGGGTTTGATGATGATGATGACTGCATGTAAATTGCTGCCATGTTTGTTGAATGGTTTTCTGGTCATCTGAGAAGAGCAACATAGCTGGGCTGTGGGACTTTGCCTGTCTGTGGCACAAATAATGCAAACAGCTTGTGCAATCTCCCAATTAGTGCTCCACCTGGATATTTATTCAGGTCAATTTAGTGATCTGCTATCTTACAATCCTTGCAGCAATGTGGCAATTGCATATGCCTTGCAACACTCTGATGGTATTTTTCTGTGCCTACGCTTCAACACATATCTCACTAACATTCAATCCAGACTTTATGTTATTTCAAAAATTTATAAGCCACCTTCAGGAAAAACCCTCCCAAATCGGAAGATTTAGCCTCCAAATAGCGGAGAAACTATTTCTAAAAGCTCATTTTAATCTTGCAAACTGAACAGGTGTTCCAGTGGAAAATGATGGCCATTTTGAGATGCAGTTTAATTTCTCTAAAGCTTTGGTGTGATTTTTTTTTTTAAACAACCAATCATTACAAATAGTTGCAGAGACATTAATGGTATGCTTACCCATTAAAGAAAAGCATGATTAAGCCACTGAAATGGTTTCAATTATTTGAGTCTCAACATATTGTAATTATTACAAACTTTGGGTACAAACCAGAGAAAGTTCGATGGGCTTGACTTATTGATAATGAGAGAGGCACTCAACTTTCTGTCAATTACAACCATTCTTTGAAAAACAGGCAAACAGTACTTTTAAAGAAAAATAAAGACCTGTTTGTTTAAATCTGGTACCTGAGTAGTTTGAATAATAGTCAAATCATTCATCCGAGATGTTCCTGTTCCCATAGGTGCTCGGAGGCCGGCAGTCCCAAATTCCATCCGTGAACCAAAACATTTTCTGAGTTCTTCTGTACTCTGATTTGCAAGCAGATACTTTACATTGTCTCTGGTTTTGGAATTCTGTAAAGGAAAAAGATTTCACCAGGGTTTAATTTTGAGCCCAGAATTTAGGGCACCTTTTATGGAAAACCATACCTACTTTGCCAATTTTTTTGAGGGAAGCAAGTCTTACAATGGAAAGAGTGTAACTGCAAGACTTCCATTATTCTAGGGAATCCAATTCAGAGAAATTCAGGGGTTCCTTGAAAGCTTATCAGAAGTTTGTCCATGAAGGGTCTGTAAGGGAGCAGCTTTCATAAAAGTCAGCTTTCTGGCCAGCACCAATACTGACGTTTCCTTACAAAATGCAACTGAAGGAGACACTCTCTGTTCAACACCCAACAACCCAGGCCAGGACCAGGGGCCATTTATCGTTGGCATCTGTCTGTCTCGAGAGACAATAAGTGCGCCTCACGGGGTGAAGTCAAACTGCCCAGTATAACTTAAGGAGCGTCTCCACCCCCATCATTCTGCCCGGACACTGAGGTCCAGCGCCGAGGGCCTTCTGGCAGTTCCCTCCCTGCGAGAAGCAAAGTTACAGGGAAGCAGGCAGAGGGCCTTCTCGGTAGTGGCGCCCTCCCATCAGATGTCAAAGAAATAAACAACTATATGACATTTAGAAGACATCTGAAGGCAGCCCTGTTTAGGGAAGCTTTTAATATTTGATGAATTATTGTATTTTAATATTTTGTTGGAAGCCGCCCAGAGTGGCTGGGGAAACCCAGCCAGATGGGTGGGGTATAAATAATATATTATTATTATTATTATTCTGCATTAGCACCACCAAAGTGACCTACCATGGTTCACAAGCCTGGGCAGTGTGTATGGGGCCCCTGGGCTGCCCAGACAACAAGAACCCCCTCTTGGCCTTGCTGATGTGGTCCAAAGGAAAACAGAATCATTTTTTCTAAAAACAGGAGTAGTGGTGATGTAGGATAGGAGCCACACTATGCCTTCTGGTATACTTTTCACAGTGCTGGAAGGGCCCAAACTTCATAAGCAACTCGAGCAAATGCCCATAGCCACAATTACAGTCCTCAAATAGTGACTGAATGCAAAACTACCGTGATATCATTGAACCCTAATGGATGCCTGACAGTTTAATGACGTTGCCTATTTTTAGATGGCCGTGAGATTCTTTTTCATATCACAATACAGACATGTTGCTCCACATGTACTTATGGCATTTACAAAGTGCCTTGTTATGTCCAGCACTTGCCTAACAACTAAAGGCAGCTCTAGAGAAGCAATACAGGAAAGGAGTCATGTGCTCAAACCTGTTGCTGAGTTAGGCAACTCACTTCACAGAAGTATTTACAGTACCGAGCCGAAACATTCAGACAATACAGAGACTGTTTGCCCAAATCCAGATGGTTTTTGTTTTTTGTTTTAAAGAGGGGGATACAAACCACAAGAAGATTCGTTGTCACTAATTGTTCCTCAAGACCAGAATCATACAACAATTATCTTATAGGAAGCCAGATGGAACATATTAGAGCTCTTGAAATACTGAGAATCTTTACATTTGGCCTTCTGTGCTGAATGTAAAGATTACAGCTGACGACTGCAGCTTCAAAGAAAGTTGGCCCCAAGACTTTGTGCTGGAAGTGTTCTACATTAAAAATCTGAACCATTCTGCTCTTCAGCCCCCCAAAAGGCTCCTAGACCAGCTCACAAGCATCGACCATAAGACAGTCTTTGCCCTCTGGCTTCCAATCCAAAAGGCACAATGGAAAGGGGAGTGTTTTGTTTGCTTTTTTTGCTTTGTAAAGCCACCTTGGAAGGATTTGCATCCTGGTAGGAGGAATAAATATAACTGAAATGCATGCATGCAGAAATCAATACAGTAGCTAAAACTCAGATTATTCCACACTTGCTGGGCAAAGAGGTGCTTAATAACAATGATACTTGCAGCCTGATCTAACACTCACTCACTCACTCTCCTACTTAGCAGTCAGTTGAAACGCTTTGGGCATCCAAAGCACTTCACTCGGGGAGAATCTCCTACCACATGATTTGCCACAGATTGTCAGTGGCTCCATCTGCACTATACATTTAAAGCAGCATCGCATCACTTTATAAGCAGCTCTGGCTTTCCTCAAAGAATCCCGGGAACTATAGGGTGCTGTTAGGTAAAGGTAAAGGTACCCCTGCCCATACGGGCCAGTCTTGACAGACTCTAGGGTTGTGCGCTCATCTCACTCTAGAGGCCGGGAGCCAGCGCTGTCCGCAGACACTTCCGTGTCACGTGGCCAGCGTGACGAAGCTGCTCTGGCGAACCGGCACCAGAGCAGCACACGGAAACGCCGTTTACCTTCCCGCTATAAAGCGGTACCTATTTATCTACTTGCACTTAAGGGTGCTTTCGAACTGCTAGGTGGGCAGGAGCTGGGACCGAAAGACGGGAGCTCACCCCGCCGTGGGGATTCGAACCACCGACCATGCGATCGGCAAGTCCTAGCCACTGAGGTTTTACCCACAGCGCCACCCGCGTCCCTTAGGGTGCTGTTAGGAGACCCCTATTGGCTTCATGCAGCTACAGTTCCCAGAGTGCCCTGGGAAGAAGTGTTAAACCACTCTGAAAATTGAAGCTCTCAGCATCTTTAACTAACTACACTTCCCAGAATGCTTTGGGGGAAGCCATGACGGTTTACTGTGGTAGGATACTGCTCTAAGTGTGAACTGAAGCCCTGCTAACAGCACCAAGCTTGGCATTCACTAGAATCAGGGTCTTTCCAGCAGCGGACCCACTGTCCTTCCACAAGAAGCTCATTAAACCTTAAATCTTGCTTTCATCTACATTCAGACCATGGCTCTCTGTTCCACAAAACATTTGGCATTAAAATTTTGTAAAATAAACAGATCACCTGCTGTCATATCCAGGTTCAGCTTTGAGGTTAAATTTGAACTAAAGGCTTCCAAAGTCTCGCCCTTTTATCACTAAACTACAAATTGCACAGAGGCATATTAAAAACATGGAAATGCAGTAAACCCATTGAAGGCAATAGGACTGCAATCAGTCACTCCTTGTCTCGGGATTAATAGGGACGGAAGTCGGCAGTACTGTAGCTTTTTTTGTTGGTCAATGAGAAAGCAGACGTTGCTACCATTATTATTGCTGTTTATAAAATTCATAGGTTGCTTTTTTTTACCAAAGTAACTCCAAGGGATTTGCAGTAAAAACAAGCAAGCAAACAGATACATTAAAACTGGGGATAAAGAAAATAAAAGTCTAAACGGTAGTTCTATTTTTTAAAAGCTACATTAAAACATTCCACCCACTCCCAGAAAACATGGGTAACTAAAAGCCTGGCCAAAAATAAAGAAATTGTGCTGATGACTGATTCCTAAAGATATGTAATGATGGTGCCAAGCATGCCATAAGATGGAGCCACCAGTGAAAAGGTCCGTTCTTGTGTTGCCACCTTTCAGGCATCCTGTGGATTCTGGTTTAAATCAGGATTAACATTACCATACTTGTAATGCATAACAAAGTCCAGAAATTGCGAAACCTATGAACCTGAACTTGCCCAAATGGTTCTAGCACACTGTTCATCCAAGGATTGAGGTATCTGTATGCGTAATAGCTTGCCAGGTGGATCCTCGTTTTGTAACAGTAAATATAGTACTCTTCTGCTTATCAGGAGGGTGATCTTAGTTGAACTTTACTTTAGGTTTTGTAACCATCTTCTGATATTTAACCAAGGTTACATTCCTCAAGCCACTTTCTCAACAAAGTACTATTTCAGAAGAAACAGGGTATGGTGATTGGTGCATAACTGCCTCTGAATGTGGGTTTTTTATGCTTAAAACTGCTTTCAGTACATATAAATATTATACAAATTTAGAACGGGATTGCTCATCAAATATTATGATCCAAAACTCATAACACAACCAGTTTCTTTCACAGTGTACTGTACCCACCAACTTTAACCACCTAGAGGATCAAAAATAAATCACTGAATAATGTCTGGAATTTTAAGATAACATAAACTGTTACAAAGCAAAATTGTAAGAAATGTACTGCAAGGCATTTCAACTATCTGGGGAAACAAAAGCTATTTATGTAAGACAGGAAGGGTATACAAAGTTTAAATAAATACACATATAGCTAAAAATCTCTCCGAAGTAAAGCAAAAACAAAAAAACTGGAATAAGAAATTAAACAGCCACTGAAATTGTGCCCCCCATTGAAATACAAGGAATGCTGAATGATTCTGCTACTAACACACAAAAAGCCTCTATTCTAGATAGTTCTAAAATTTAATTTTGATACTCAAGTCACATGTTTTTGTGGAGTACAGTATGTACTGTATGTAACCCACTCAAAAATAGAACACAGACATAATAAGATGATTTGGGCAGTGGATGTTGGGTCACTATCACCTTTGTCTTCATTGCTGATACACTGGGCATTGGTAGAAAGGAAACACGGTGTTCATAAGGGTAAATGCTTGAAGGCACTATGGTTAGCAATGTTTAAATCATGTTCTATTTAGTAGGTGAGTAGCCAAAGGCCATCCAGCCTCTGCTTAAAAGCGTTCAAGGAAGGAGAGCGCACACCCTCCTGAGGGAGTCCATTCCACTGTCGAACAGCCCTTACCATCAGAAAGTTCTTCCTGATGTTTAGGAGGAATCTCATTTCTTGTCATTTGAAACCATTATTGGTTCAGTTCTTACACTCCAAAGCAGGGGGAAAACAAGTTTGCTCCATTCCCCCATGTGGCAGCCCTCTAGTTATTTGAAGATGGCTATTATATCATAGTTCTTGCAGTGCAAGGAGCCTTCCTTGGAGATTTTGAAGCAGAGGTTGGATGGCCATCTGTCACGGATGTTTTAGTGGAGAGTCCTGCACTGCAAGGGATTGGACTAGATGACTCCCAGGGTCCCTTCAAACTCTACAATTATATGATTCTAACAAATCAGATTTATCCCTGCAGTGCAGGGGGCTGGACTAGACACAGCGTTTGAAACTCCCATTGTTCTAGGCGCATTTTGCGACCGGGAATTTCACTTGCATGAGCAGTTCCTGAGCTCGGAAATACGCCTAAGATTTCAGATTAAAACTGCAGAATGGAAGGAAAGGACAGCCTTTTTCTGCCTCCCCATTTCCAGCCACTCTCTGAGGACTGGAGAAGGGACCCTCATAAGAATATTAGGGGGACGGGCAGGGGAAGTATGGCTTTGTTTTTTGCAGTCTTCAGATGAGGTCTAGACCATGTGAAAAATGAACATAACATTTAAGCTGCAGTTCATTCATTTTCAGCTTTGTATTCTTGTTACAAAAAAGTGCGCCTAGACATTCCGTTGTTGTGCCCATAACCTAGGCTTAAGGTGCCATTATCTCCTAGCTTTCATATCTGTTTCTAACACTGACTAAATGACCCTTGGGGTCTCTTCCAGTTCTACCATTCTATGCTCTCTTACTGGAAATCCTGCTCCTATGGCTTCCGGTTGCCTTAATGGCACAGCTCCCACGACAGCGGAGACCACTGGCGAAGCAATAAACATAGATGAAAGAGGGTAATTATCTTTGTAAACTCCCCCCAGGGCCCAGGAGGAGTAAGCTACACTCGTGGATAGTCTTGGTACCTGGCTTTCGCTCATACATGGATGTGAGAGGCAGGGAGATGATTGGGTGCAAAGCAATTCACCTCTCGGTAACCCCTCCAATGCCGCCATTAAGAGCAGCGGTACTTCTGTTCATTAAAGGATTCATTAGGATTAATGCAGAGACACATGTTGGTAATGATGGGACAAGACTAAGGACTGCTGAACTGAAACAGTTACAAGGTCGTACAGATTTAAATTGGAAAGATGACTCCATCTGAGCCAAAAAAGACGGTATGTGTTTGTGGGGGGAGCCAATCGCTTCATTATGAATCCTTTGTTACATAAATGACTCAGCAACCCCCCGCCCTCCCCCCCAAGAATGCCTGGGAATGCTAAAAGTTTTGTTCTTTAAAGCAAATGAAGGAGATGGGAGCACAGATATATATCATAATGACAAACGGGACTGTGTGAGAAAAAAATAATGTTTGGAATAATTATAAAAAGGGGTTGGAGCCTCTGCGGAGTTAATTATTTTACTTGCCCCTCATTGAGGGGAGGAAGGACTGGACTTTGAAGACTTGCCGGGGCACCAGATCAATCCTCTACAAATAATTATAATTAATTGTTTCAACTGGACGTGGAGGCGAGAACTTGGAGGCCTGCCAGGGCTTTGGCAGGACTTTGGGTGACTCCTTGTTTGAAAATGAAAGTGTAATTTTACAGCTGCATCAGAAGAGTTGGGAACAAAGAGAGAGACCTCTTCAGAGTAACTCCGAGGCAACAAAGGAGATCAGGAATAATTAATATGGACATAATATTTGATAAAGAAATAACTGATGGAAATTAAAACCTCACACAGGAAGAAGAAAGGAGAGCTATATTACAAATTACTGTATGTGTTAATGCGAATTGAAGTTAATCATTGTAGCTGTGGTATAAGGGATTTTATCAAGAATGGATTGTATTTGGTTTGAGCAATAGTCTGGAGGCAGAATGAAAGGGAATCAGACCCTGAAGTATAGCACGTGGGAAGCCATACAGAATTTATAATTGGCTATATCATTGATTTTTAAGATTTTTAAGCATCTTAAAAAGCAGAGACATCACCTTGCCAACAAAGGTCCGTATAGTTAAAGCTATGGTTTTCCCAGTAGTGATGTATGGAAGTGAGAGCTGGACCATAAAGAAGGCTGATCGCCGAAGAATTGATGCTTTTGAATTATGGTGCTGGAGGAGACTCTTGAGAGTCCCATGGACTGCAAGAAGATCAAACCTCTCCATTCTTAAGGAAATCAGCCCTGAGTGCTCACTGGAAGGACAGATCCTGAAGCTGAGACTCCAATACTTTGGCCACCTCATGAGAAGAGAAGACTCCCTGGAAAAGACCCTGATGTTGGGAAAGATGGAGGGCACAAGGAGAAGGGGACGACAGAGGACGAGATGGTTGGATAGTGTTCTCGAAGCTACCAGCATGAGTTTGACCAAACTGCGGGAGGCAGTGGAAGACAGGAGTGCCTGGCGTGCTCTGGTCCATGGGGTCACGAAGAGTCGGACACAACTAAACAACAACAACAAAATGTAACTGATTTGTATATGAATTGGTATTATTATTTGGTATTAATATAATTTGGTGCATATTGGATTTTTGGAATTTAAAATTAATAAAAATCATTATTATTACAGTATTTTTAAAAAAGAAGAAGAAGAGGAGGAGTTTGGATTTGATATCCCGCTTTATCACTACCCGAAGGAGTCTCAAAGTGGCTAACATTCTCCTTTCCCTTCCTCCCCCACAACAAACACTCTGTGAGGTGAGTGGGGCTGAGAGACTTCAGAGAAGTGTGACTGGCCCAAGGTCACCCAGCAGCTGCATGTGGAGGAGCGGGGAATCGAACCCGATTCCACAGATTACAAGACTATTGCTCTTAACCACTACACCACACTGGCTCAAGGAAATCCTGTTCCTGCTGTCACGGACTCCCTAGCCAGCCCCCACAGGACTAAATGCACAATAATAATGCTAATAGCCACCCTTCTTGGGTAAGGAATGGCCAGGCAGCTTACGCAACATGCTTCTGAAAAGCTCCCCGAGGTCCTCCAGAGACGTTGCCTATAGCTACTTGCACATTCATTCCTGCAGCGCAGAGGGTTGGGCTGGATAACCACAGGGGTTCCCTTCCAACTCCACCAACCTCTCATTCTAACATGCCCCATTTGTTCCTGCACTGCAGGGGGTTGGGCTGGATGACCCCGGGGGTTCCCTTCCAACCCCACCATTCTGCGATTCGAACGCGCCGCCTTCATTCCCGCAGCGCGAGGGGGTTGGGCTGGATGACCCCGCGGTGTCCCTTCCCCACTCCCCAGCTCTCTCATCTCCGACAGGCGCCCACTATATGAGCTCCTGGTCGGCCTCCCTCTTCCCCCCACGCCCGGCTTATTCCTCCCCTCCTTCTCCCGCACCTTGTCCCACAGTAGCCAGTCGGAAGCCGCTAACTGGATCCGTTGGTCTTCCAAGCCCTCCGCCATGGTTGCCATTCTCTCCCCTCAGCGCCGCCGCTTCTTCCCCTCAGAACGCCTCAGCAGCCTCTTCCCCGGTTCCGGAGGCGCAGCAACGCGCCCAAGGCCGGTAAGCTCCGCCTCCCGTAGGCGGGCGCGGCCTGATTGGATGGGCCGCCCGCTCGAGTTAACCCTTCCCCGACTTCCCTAGCGAGCGCCGGAGGTGGGAGAGACGGCGCTTCTCTCGTGAGAACGCCGAGCGTTCAGGACTATTGGTGACAACGGCGGCCGGCGCCTTCACTGAGGTGGCTCAGTCGGTAGAGCGTGGAGACTCTTAATAGCAGGATCGTGGGTTCGAGCCCCACGTTGGGGGAAATGATTCCTGGATTCGATGGCTCTATTAGTCCCTTCCGAAAGCGTCTGTTTAAATTCGTTAGGATAATCGCCCTGGATAGTCAGTGGATTGGAGTGTGGGGCTGACATCGCCAAGGTTGCAGGTTCGATCCCTGTATGGGGCAGCTGCATAGGGGTTGAGCCAGTAGATGATCCTTGGATCCTTTCTAATTACCAGTATATTTTTGTGGTTTTGATCTTTTTAATGTTTTTAGTTATGGCTAGAAAGATTTGCATGATGGTTTATCGGTAAAACTTTGTAACCCGCTTTTGAGTTTTGTTCTGTTTAATTATTTTATTACACACATGAAATTTATTTTACACACATATATTTATACATATATGAAATAAATACATTTTTTTTTATTTTGTTTCTTAGATTTATATACCACCCTTCCTCATAAAATCCCAGGGCAGTTCACAGATTAAATTATTTAATCTGGTCTATTATGGTTTTAGCTTTCTGTATGCTTTAAATCACAGCTGTAAATTTTTAAAGGGATGCTTGTATTGTTTTATCCATTTTGCAAACAAGATTTTTTTTAGTTACAGGTAGGTAGCCATGTTGGTCTGCCGTAGTTGAAACAAAATAAGAAAAAATTCCTTCCAGTAGCACCTTAGAAACCAACTGAGTTTGTTACTGGTATGAGCTTTTGTGTGCATGCACACTTCTTACAAATAACTAACAGTGGTGCCCCGCAAGACGAATGCCTCGCAAGACGGAAAACCCGCTAGACGAAAGGGTTTTCCGTTTTGGAGGTGCTTCGCAAAACGAATTTCCTATGTGCTTGCTTCTCAAGACGAAAATGTCTTGCGAGTTCCTGCGGGGTTTTTTTCCTTTCCCCCCCTTTTTCCCAAGCCGCTAAACCGCTTATCAGCTGATGGCTAAGCCGCTTAACAGCTGATGGCTAAGCCGCTTATCAGCTGATCGTTAAGCCGCTTATCAGCTGATCTTTAAGCCGCTTAACAGCTGATCGCTAAGCCGCTTATCAGCTGACCCGCTAAGCCGCTAATACTGTAGCGCTAATCCGCTAAACCGCTAATGGGCTTGCTTCGCAAGACAAAAAACCCGCAAGACGAAGAGACTTGCGGAACGGATTCTTTTCGTCTTGCGAGGCACCACTGAACTTAGTTGGTCTCTAAGGTATTACTGGAAGGAATCCCCCCCCCCCCCAATATGGCAGACCAACACGGCTACCTACCTGTAACTAGAGCTATGAAAGGCACCACATTGAGCCACATAAAAGGGAAGATTTTTTTGTTTTACAATCGAGCAGTATTTAATTTTAATGAAATAACTAAACAAATGAGCACAGATCGTTCAAGTCTATGTTTCCTGGGCCTGATTTGGCTGTGGCCACCAAAGTGGTTTATCTATTGCTTATTTATTTTAAATTCTTTTTTATTCAATTTTACACTATACATATAAATCCAAACATTAATCATAACCGTCAATGTTTAGGATTCCCTGAAACCTTAGACTTCCCTCCACCCTTCCATGGTTTCTATCATCAGGCATTTTCTACTGCATCATGTATTTTCTCTATTTTTCTTAAAATAATCCATTGTTACCTTAGTTTTTAATACATTACAAGTGTTACTCTAATCCTGCCAAAGTTTTTAGTTATTTACAGTGTTCTCTTAAGTAAATTGTAATCCCCGCCCCATTCCTTATTAAAGTTTCTATCTTCCTGGTTTCTTATTTTCCCTGTCATTTTTGCCATTTTGGCGTAGTCCGTCATCGGTTTCTCTATTATTTAATTAATTAAGTTGCTCGTTGCTTTATCTAGCCCAGGGCGACCGAAAGTGACTTCTAACCAACCAAACAAAAAAAGCAAAATAAAAACTTCTGTTCCTTCGTGTTGTGGGTTAAAGATCTGTGCGGTGCTAAAACGCCACATGATGGAGTCTTCTGCCATACATGTGATCATGTAGAGATGGATGAGTGAATATCTTTTTCATCCATGGACTTAACAAAAGAACGTATCTCCATACTTTGCAATATTACACAATATTAAACTAGGCCAGGCCATTCTGCCGAAGGCTAGGAGGAGGTGGATGAAACAGAGAGAATGCTCTTGGCAAATAAGTATGAGGAAATCAGCAAAGGAAATTCCCAGATAAAATGACTTGCAGGTAGGTAGTGCTGAGATGCTTCCGAGAATCAGGTTCAATGGATGAGCACAGACATACTATTTAGGGAGGGCAAGAAAGCAGTCCTCCCATCTTTTTAATCACGTGGCAATTTAAAGCACCGGTCTGATGACTCAGGCTAGCCTCAGAGGTGCCCTGTATCTTGCCCACAAGGTCCCACAGACCTTGAGTGGCAGGTCTCTGGCAATGCCCCCCACCCCTATAAGGTGCCTAAAGGTGCTCACCACAACTCATTATTTACCTGTCAAGCTTCTTGCACTTTCTCGCACGTTCTGCCTGGACACTGAGGTCCAGCGCCGAGGGCCTTCTGGCGGTTCCCTCGCTGCGAAAACCCAAGGTACAGGGAACCAGGCAGAGGGCCTTCTCGGTAGTGGCACCCGCCCTGTGGAACGCCCTCCCACCAGATGTGAAAGAGAAAAATAACTACCAAACTTTTAGAAGACATCTGAAGGCAGCCCTGTTTAGGGAAGCTTTTAATGTTTAATAGGTTATTGTATTTTAGTGTTTTGTTGGAAGCTGCCCAGAGTGGCTGGGGAAACCCAGCCAGATGGGTGGGGTATAAATATATTATTATTATTATTATTATTATTATTATTATTATTATTATTTCCTGCTAAAAGTGACTAGGCAACTGAATTAACAGCTGACCTCAACTCAATAACAAAACACCTGGCAGCCAGACCAGTGTACTGGCAACCCGAAATTTATACTGGACCCCAAGGCAGCCTGCAAAACCTGCACTGGATCTAAGGGAGGGTGGGCAGGTGCTGAGATTCCAAAGAACTGGAAGAATGGGTGGAAACGGCTTAAATATCCATGCCCCCTCCCATGTTGTCCTGGCACCCCAAACATCTAAGGCAGGAACAAGCAAATTCGGCCCACCAGATATTTTTGGGACTACAACTCCAATCATCCCTAGCTAACAGGACCAGTGGTCAGGGATGATGGGAGTTGTAGTCCCAAAATATCTGGAGGGCCAGGTTTGCCTATCCCTGAGCTAAGGCCTTCTACCCCTTCACCCTCCCAGAATTCAAAAGCTGCTTCTGTTCTGTGCCAAAGCCCGGGCTTAGAATCTGACCAACGTCTCCTATCATGTTGTCTGCATGTAGAAATGTTCTTTCCCATGTTTCTCCTTTGTTCTCTAGTTTGGAATACTGCCTGGGAACAGGAAAGAGAACCATCTACCTCAACAGCTGTAAACGCTAGATCACCGCCGATGTGTTCCTCTCATGTTGGACCGAAGGGAATCGGTAATTCTGGAGCACGGACTGGACACAGAGAGGCAAAACCAATTCAGATTTCAAGCAGAGTTTATTTGGTTCGCATATGCAAAGCAAATGGTACAGCGCAATACGCAAAGCTGTCAACCGTCCCTTATTTGGCAGGAAAGTCCCTTAACCCAGCGCCGTGCCCCGCTGCTGTCCCTTATTGATGATGTCCCTTTAATTTCCCGGGTTTCAAAGGAAGCAGCTTCTCTCCCTCCCTCCCTGCTGGCCAAGGAGGCTCCAACTGTGTTGCTTGGCTGCGTTGCTCACCCAATAAGGAGTCTAAGAACGACTGGGGGGTGGAGCTTGCATGCCTTGTGCCGATCAAATTGGCCGCGTTGCCTGGGGACTCGCCTTTGCTCAGCGCTTCCCAGCAGGTCCAAGTCCGGTCAGCCTTGTGTTCCCGCCATTTTCACCTCTCTTCAATCCTTTCTCCCTCCTTCCTCGTTTTGCTGGTCCCACAGGTTACTAGAGAGGCGAGGTCCAAGTCCAGTCCGTGGCCAAAGGTGCAACGTGGAGGGAGTCCGTAGTAGCTGAAGCTGGGTGCAGGGCAGGGAGTCGGGTGAAGTCAGCAACAGGCTTGCAAGCAGGGAACCAGGGCGGGTCAGGAGCTCAGGCAGGAAAGCGGGACAGGGTTCAGGCAGGAACTAGCAACCAACACTGTTGCTCCCGCAACTTGGGACTGGGGCTGGCGCGTTTTATCTCCCCCGAGGCATAGGGCGGCCACGATCCTCTGGTGACTCGCCTCTCCTGGTCTGGAGGCGAGCACTCCTCCTGCGGGAACTTAGTTCCCTCTGCAGCTCAGGAGAGGCTGGAGGGTTACCTTGATCTCAACGCCCTCGTTCTTCCCTTACTCCCTTTTAACTCTCCCATAGCAGAGCACCTTCTCTTCACCCGTCACGCCGTACGCTCATTCCAGATCTTCCACAATTATGTCCTTTTCTCCAGGTGCTGGCCTAATACGGGCCCGGTTTCGGGCTTTTGCCTTCGCAAGCTCTCGACAGCTCTTGAAGAGTTTGGTCACAACTGGTGCCAGAGGAGGCTGCTCCTTGGGCTGGAGCGGGGCCACTTTGTTGTTCTTTTTAAGCTGCATCACGCTTCTCAGTCTCCTGAGCCACTCTCTTCCGCGAAGGACTAGTCTGCTGAACTTTCCTTCTTCCTGCATGCTTGCTGCTGGCTCCGCCTCCTCTTTAAGCAGTCAATATCAGAAGAAAATCCAAATCCTCTGCTTTCTCTCTTACCGCACCTACACACCTCTCTCCGCCTCACGAACCCACAAAGGACAGACACCTGTAGTTGGTGGCTTTTAAGGGAGAAGCAGGTGATGTCACAAAGGAGGGCAGGCCATTGTTACCATGGCAACCCACCCACCTTGACCCTGGGCCCAACTCCTCCCCCATGTTTCTTCAGAACTTGGAAGCAGCTGCTGTTCCGTCTGCAGGTGAATCTTCTCTTTTGGAGCTCATGTTTCTATACCGGATCTTTCTTCATTCAGCCCCATTTCCAAAGGGAGACAATCCCAACATCCCTTGAGATGCAGTAGAAGACTCCCAAGTCTAGGGGTGTCCATAGCACAGGATTAGACAATCTGCTTTGCATTCTCGTCATCCTCCTAGATAATCCTGGATTACATCTCCAGCTGGGGCAGAGAATGTCCCCTGTCTGAAACCCGGTCAGTTTAGACGATGCTGAGGTGGATGGGTCAATGTCTGACTCTGCCCAAGGCAGTTTCCTAGGAATATTCCTCTTAAGTCATTTACCCGGAAGACAAGCAAGCTAAGTTCTCCACAAGACCAACAATCCATTTCTCCATTAGGAGACAATATGGAAAAGTCCCTGTTTTATATACAATAATGCAAGTACAAAAAATCTTGAATATGAGAGGAAGCAAAATTCTGGCCTCTGTAATGAAGCAATAGGCAAAGGGTCCTGAAGCAGAGCAAGTTGGGGGGGGGCATCAAACTGATTCCTGCATTGCAGGGGGTTGGGCTAGATGGCCTTTGGTGTGGCCCCCAGTTCCAGGATTCTGTAATTTGAGGATTGTACTCTGTACTGGGTCCTGTTAGATTTATGCAGCATCACTTTTCCTTTTTTCCTTTTTTATTTTGCATTTTATTTGTTATATTACATCAGTAATCATTCTCATATTACATTACAGGACTTACTATAATATAATGTCCAACATGTATACAAAAATTATATACAAATTTTAAATATCTAGAAAGAAGGGAAACAAAAAAACAAAGAAAAAACAAAAACGACCCCCCCCCAAATCATATACATACCAACACACTAGACTTCCTTTCTATCCCATTGTATATTCCTTTTTTACAAATGGATGTACTCTTATTATTGTATATTTCGTTGCATTTTATCTAATACATTCCTATATCAATATGTGCGCTTAGTCTTATTTCTCAGCTCAGTCTCACTCCAACGTCAATCAAATGCTAGCATAGATAGCAAACCTTTACTGTATTTTTGAACATATGTTTTATATCTTTCCCACTTTTCCATAAATTGCCCCTCAGGGTGTTTGTTGACTGCGCCATTTCAGCAAATTCTTGTAGCTCGTAATGCCAGTCCGTTATTGTCGGGGCTTCTTGTTCCTTCCACCCCTTTGCCACCAAAACCCGAGCTGCAGCCATTGCAGATAAGAATACCTCCCTAGAGGCCTTCAGGAAGTCCCTGCCAACAACGCTTAACAGAAATGCCTCTGGTCTTTTAAAAAATGTTATTCCAAACATTTTTTCAACTCCTCATAAATTAAGCCCCAGAACACCTTGATCTTCCTACATGTCCACTACTTTTGATACATAGAATCATAGAATAGAATCATAGAATCATAGAGTTGGAAGAGACCACAAGGGCCATCGAGTCCAACCCCCTGCCAAGCAGGAAACACCATCAGAGCACTCCTGACATATGGTTGTCAAGCCTCTGCTTAAAGACCTCCAAAGAAGGAGACTCCACCACACTCCTTGGCAGCAAATTCCACTGTCGAACAGCTCTTACTGTCAGGAGGTTCTTCCTAATGTTTAGGTGGAATCTTCTTTCTTGTAGTTTGGATCCATTGCTCCGTGTCCGCTTCTCTGGAGCAGCAGAAAACAACCTTTCTCCCTCCTCTATATGACATCCTTTTATATATTTGAACATGGCTATCATATCACCCCTTAACCTCCTCTTCTCCAGGCTAAACATGCCCAGCTCTCTTAGCCGTTCCTCATAAGGCATCGTTTCCAGGCCTTTGACCATTTTGGTTGCCCTCCTCTGGACCCGTTCCAGTTTGTCAGTGTCCTTCTTGAACTGTGGTGCCCAGAACTGGACACAGTACTCCAGGTGAGATCTGACCAGAGCAGAATACAGTGGCACTATTACTTCCCTTGATCTAGATGCTATACTCCTATTGATGCAGCCCAGAATTGCATTGGCTTTTTTAGCTGCCGCCATTACTCCCACCACACCTCCAACAAGTATTCGCAAATTTTTTATACATCTTCGATAATCTTGAGGGGTTGAGATACCATCTGTGCGGCATCTTTAACATATTTTCTTTAATGTTATAACACGCCGTGAGTTTCATATTTGTTCTCCAAAGCTCTTCTTGATATAGGAATGTATTAGATAATATGTAAAGAAATATGCAATAATAAGAGTACATTCATTTGTAAAAAAGGAATATACAACGGCAAAGACAGGAAGTCTTGTGTGTTGGTATGTACGGTATATGATTTTTGGAAAAATTTGTTTTGTTTTGTTTTACTTTGTTCTTGCCTTCATCTTTTTTGGTTTTTTCATTTTCTTTTTAGGTATATAAAATTTGTATATAATTTTTGTATACGTGTTGGAAATTATAATGTAATATGACAATGTTTGTAATGTAATATGACAATGTTTACCGATGTAATATAAGAATGTTAATAAATAAATAAAATGCAAAAAAAAAAAGAAAAGAAAAGAAGAAAGCAGCAGAGAAGGCTATTTATCACCCCATCCTATCAAACCAAGTAATAGCTTTGGGAGAATGGGGAAGGCATAGCCCAACCCCACAGTCCATATACCGGTAAATCATTGAGGTTCCTCAGGGAGGAGGTATTCAACCAAATCAGGTCATGGCTGGGGAGGGTTCCATTGTCTTAAGATCCTATCTGGTTCATGGACTTTCATGTCCTATTTAGATACCCTGTGCACCAGAGCTTGAGAAACACTCCTGCAACCACCAAATCTGGTATCTTTAATCTGTGATCTGTGGATGGTGATGGGAAAATGAATTACTGCATTTTTCGCCCTATAGGACTCACCGTCCCATAAGGCGCACCTAGTTTTTGGGGGGGAAATAAAGGGGGGGAAAATTCCCCCCCCAGGCGTGGGGCTGGGGCGGGGGAGCCCGAGCTTCCCCCAACCCCAGCCCCCAGAATAGGCAACTCTCTGCAAGCTGTGGGAGCCCGACGCCGGGCTCCCGCGCCTTGCGGAGAGCTGCACGAAGCCTGGAGAGCGAGAGGGGTCGGTGCGCACCGACCCCTCTCACTCTTCAGGCTTCAGCAAAAGTCTGCATTCGCCCCATAGGACGCACACACATTTCCCCTTCATTTTTGGAGGGGAAAAAGTGTGTCCTATAGGGCAAAAAATACGGTATTCGTGGGATTGAGTGTAGGTATGTTTGAACACTTTTAAGGATTGTATGAAATGCATGTTTGTATGCCTGTTTATTTGTAATATATGTGTATTAAAAATCCTTTTTAATTAATAAACTTTTTTTTTTTAAAAAAAGAAATGGATCAATGTTGGTACATAATGAAATGTGAAAATGTGAATTTATGAATATAATGTATATGTATCATTATGTAAAGATTTCATATATGTATTGCAACATTAATAATAAATAATTTTTTTAAAAGCTTTGTATTAAAAAATAATAAGAATAAAAATAAAAATACTAGTTTTTGCAAAAATAAAAAATAATAATTAAAAAAATCTGTGATCTTTTGGAAATGGTTTTGGCTTTTCCCACAGACTGGCAACATAAAGTTGGCAACACACATCAATGACTAGCCGTCCTATGATGTTGGTTCGAGTTTCTTCTTTTAAAAATCTGCAACTCTCAGAGTTCATAGACCTACCGTTGCATACAAAAGAAAACTAGTGGCAGAAGTTCTTTCATAACCTGTTTGCTTCCGCTGATAGCCCAGGACATGAACCAATAAAAAGCTACAAGCCTAGTAGCACAACATTAAAACCCGGCTTTGGCTGGGGAGGGCAGGATATAAATAAATATTATTATTATTATTAAAACTGCTCAGGCTTCTTAATGTAACACTTAAAAGGCACTTGGCCTAGCTGCTTAAAAAAAACATCACCCAACTATTTTTATTAGTCTTTTTTTCTAAAAAAAAACAACATACCAAGCTTAATGATAGTAAACCTGTATCAGTGAATAAACTGGCCTTAGGGGTGCATCTAAAACATTTTTTCTTTAGGCAAGCCTACCCAGACCTGTAATTTCATTATGTATATTTGTTTTGGGTTGTTTTTTTTTAAAAAAACACCTGTCGGTTTGATCTCCATTAATAATAATAATAATAATTTTTATTTATACCCCGCCCTCCCCATCCAAGGCCGGGCTCAGGGCGGCTAACAAGCAATAATAAAAATAAGTTGAATGAATAGAACTTAAAAACAAGATTAAAATACAAAAATTAAAATATTGAAACATTAAAATATTAAAATGCAGCCTCATCACAGGAGGAGAAAGGAAAAAGGAAAAAGAAAGAGGGGGAGGGAATCAAATTGGCTCCAAGCCAAAGGCCAGGTGGAACAACTCCGTCTTATAGGCCCTGCGGAAAGAAATCAGATCCTGCAGGGCCCTGGTCTCATGAAGCAGAGCGTTCCACCAGGCCGGAGCCAGTGTTGAAAAGGCCCTGGCTCTGGTTGAGGCTAATCTAACTTCCTTAGGGCCCAGGACCTCTAGGGTGTTGCTATTTATGGACCTTGAGGCTCTCCGTGGGGCATAAATTGTGATCATTTTATTGTCTGCTAATTTTGAAAGTCTGTTTTTATCATTATTTATAAACTAATTTGTAAATTGCTTTTTCATTACGTATATAAATTGGGTTAAATAAATGTACATCAGGGTGGGAAAAGTTGAGCACCTCACTCTGGCTAGGACAAATGCCCTCTGCAAGCTACAGAACCCATCAGCTGTGACTTCCTTTGGTGGTTTTGCCTGGGTGGATGACTTGTGATCATTTCTCTTGCTTGTCTGGACACAGTTGTGTG